CTCTCTCTCTCTCTCTCTCTCTCTCTCTCTCTCTCTCTCTCTCTCTCTCTCTCTCTCTCTCTCTCTCTCTCTCTCTCTCTCTCTCTCCCCCGTCCGTCTTTTTGTTTTTTTGCCCATTCTTTTCTGTTTCTTCTTTGTTTTCGTATTAAATTTTCTTTTTTTTTTTCTAGTTTTCGTTCTAAATACGCTTTGTGTCATGCCGACAGTACCGGGGCCCGGCCTTCAAGCAGCGACCGGGCCTTCCCTTGGCCGACCCCTGAAGGTGTCGGCCCGTTAACGGGAAACTTGGGGAAAGGCCCGCGTCCTATAGCTGGGCCTGGGCCAGTCCGGGCTTGTCCCATAGAGCCTGCCTACCCCTGGTGCCTATAACTGTTATTCCGTCCAAGTCCTCCTCTGAGATAACGAGGTTATACTCAGAGCTGATTAAGGGCCTCGGCACACCACTCTTGAAAACTCTTTTTCAAGAGTTGCTGCATCGCCACACAGCCTCTTGACACTTTGGGGCAGTCAAGAGCTGTCAGAGTGGCTCTTGAAACCCTTTCAAGAGAAGCTCTTGAAAGATTACCCCAGCCTGCAACTTGTGCGCTTCCAAGCGTCTTTGGCCGAACCCTTGAGGGACTATCGATTTTCGAGAGGTGTCAGGCCGTTATCCTGACGCCATTCGGAAAAAACAAAGCTGTACGACTGTCGTTTTTCATCGTTTGTCCAACACCATCGCCCTGTCGAGAGTGGTGTGTGGCGAGGGGCCGAAAACTCTTGAAAACACAACTCTTGAGAACTTCTGACAGCTCTTGACAAATCTCACCGTTTCAAGAGTGGTGTGGCAAGGCCCTAACACTGAAGTAGGGAGCCTAGTAACTGGCCTCTACAAAAAAAAAAAAAAAAGGCATTTGTAATAGGCAAAAAAAACAGTCGCCCGCAGGTCCGTCCCCACCTTAGTTGAAAACGGCAACAATAACAGAGGGCGGCGTTATAGGGCGTAGCCACACGGCACACGAAATGAAAAACGAAACAAGCGCATCTTCTCACAGAGAATGGCCAGGTTCATCAGTTTCCTATAAATAGTAATGACTGTATCTCACCACCTTTCCTCGGCAGATGCACTCGTGTCTTTTTTGTTTCGTGTGCACTCGTGTCTTTTTCGTTTCGTGTGCCGTGCGGCGATGCCCATAGACATAGTGCCTGTCCGAACCAGGCACTTTTGTCTTTTTTTTCATCGGGTTCCAGGTACCGGGCGCTGCGGTAGGGACAGCAGTAGCAGGGCTGCGATAGGGAAATGAGTTCACCGGTCCGTTCCCAACTTTTGTGGAAAACGGGCCAGACGAGGCACTGGGCAGGGTGAAGCGCCTGACTCCACCTCTCCCGATGCCGCGCGGTGCTGCCATCTGCGGTGAGTACATCCCCGCCATCTCTCTCTCTCTCTCTCTCTCTCTCTCTCTCTCTCTCTCTCTCTCTCTCTCTCTTTTTCTCTTTTTGGCGCGTGCGCGCCTCGTGCCTTCATAACTCCGCCATAGCCCAAGTCGATAATCACTTCTTTGTTGTGCGCGCATTCAGGGGTGGGGGCGCATGGAGGAAACAGAGAGTGTGCGCGCCTGGAGGAAAGAGAGAGAGAGAGAGAGAGAGAGGTTTTCCTACACGCCATCTGGCCACATTCGCAGGTACGTGCGCGCTCGTGCTAGAGAGAGAGAGAGAGAGAGAGAGAGAGAGAGAGAGAGAGAGAGAGAGAGAGAGAGAGAGAGAGAGAGAGAGAGAGAGAGAGAGAGAGAGA